CCTATATTTCCTATTGCCGCGTAGCTAACCAGCAATATGTTATTAGTGCTTTATTTGTTCTGCACTTAGTTACTATATTATAATTTCATTAATCATTTATTATATTTTATATACTGTATTAAAATTATTCAAATATTTTATGTCATATTTTATGTAAACATTTTGTGTCCCTTGAGGTAAATCCAATCAGTTTTCCTACTCACTTAATTTCCTAATAACTAAATTTTCTGCTCTCACTATCTGGACTGTCTTGGGTCGACGGCCGCGACTGCAAGCCTTTTCAGATGGGGGGGGGGGGGATAATCTGTAATGATATTTTTAAATCAATTGATTGAATTAAATTCTATTAATATTGCTTAATAATGTGTTGGCGATTCTCTACCTAAATTGCATCCCTGTTCCTAAATTTTGGCGAAATCCTTTCTTTAGTATAAAATATATTAACCTGTTGGCGCCCGCCCCAAATCGCCAAACTCATAAATCTGTCATATTACATAAAGTACTTAAGAACACTCCTGATGAGAAGATAGCGTCACCTCGTGATTTCAATTAATATTGCTGATTGGAGGAGCCTCGTGACGTACACATATGTATAAGTAGGGCTTCTGCTCAAGGTACGAGGAGAATGCTTACGAGATGGATGCTAAAATAAACCTACCACTTTATATTCCAAAATTTGTCTCATTCCTGTTGCCCCGGCTGCACAAAACAAATAATGTATGAGAAATTACATTTCATATATATATATAACTAGATGAGTAAAGTCAATATAAAAGTATAATAAATCAAAATTCTGGTTCTCTCATTACATGGAAATTTATCAAGGACAAAATATTTAACATGAAATTTATTGCCTGTTTTTAATTATGAGTTGAAACTGTTGTCCAGGGGTTTTCAAAAATTTAAATGATAGGATAAAGCTTCAGTAAACAGCCAGAAGCATGAAAGGATTTATTCAGCTATGCTCTCAAATGTGGCAGAGATTTTTCAGCAATTGCTATAAAACTTGATAATCTCCCCTAGATACAATATACATTTGAAGTGTAATTTAATATTACCGGCTTCAGTCTTCATCAAATAAACACACATTAAAGAAACATATTTTGGATTATTTGCTATAGATTTTGTAATCAGCCTTTATTAATAAAGGCCTGTGAGTTGATTCATTCTTACCATCAGGTGACAGGGCATTCTACCTCCATGACGTATTTTACTTGCACCTCCTTGATATATTTGACTTGGTGTTTTGGCATCCTAAAAGTTATAATTTGAATTTTTCTTTTAAAGGCTGTAGTATGTGCCTTTAATATATATATATATAAAGAAAAAGAAAGTACTACTGCGATAAAAGTTTACAGTGGTGGCCAAAATTGTGGACACTTTTTTTATGTTTTTGAACTTTGTATGCTTATAGAAAATGTTACGTTTTGCAAAATGCAAACTTGTATACATCATTTTAAAGAGAATTTATTACTGAATTCAATACAAAACACAAAATTCAATTATTTGCAATACAAAAAAAATTTATATGTACTTTAATAATAATAAAAAACACACAGTTATGAAGTGGTTTGTAATGTCTAGCTTTCCTGGCCAATCACTGTTCTTGTTCTGAGAACCAATCAAATGTTAGTAACTGCCAGTAGAAGCTGACATCATGTTTACACTTGAAACAATTCATTATTTTGCTTTGTTCTGTAGAAGGAGGACCTGTTTCTTATACACTGCAATTACAAGTAGGAATTTTTGTAAAAATTTTAAATATTTAGTCAAGAAGCAATGACATCAAATGAAAGAGTAAATTGGACACCTAGAAAGAGATGTAATATTATTGTGTTACGAGAAAGTGGTCTTTCCTGTGCTGAAATTGCAAGACAGGTGGGTGGTTCAGTGACTACATCTGGAGTCCGAAAGTTTTGTTTACAATATCAGGAGACAAATTCAATAAAAAACAAAGAAGGAAAAGGCCGAAAAAGGAGCACCACAACTATTGATGACAGAAGAATAAAAAGACTATGTCTCCAAGATAGAAAAATGTCATCAGCGGCCATCTGAAGTGATCTGAATGATGCTGGTGTTTCTGTCAGTTTAAGAACAATCAGGAGAAGATTAGCAAATGTTGGACTGAGAGGTAGAATTCCACGAAGAAAGCCTTATCTTAATTTTCAGCAACGATAAACAAGACTACAGTGGGCAAAGGAACACATTAATTGGACAGATGATCAGTGGTCACAAGTTATATGGAGTGATAAAACTAAGATATCATTATTCGGTTGTGATGGGTGAAAATATGTAAGACGTAGAATAGGAGAAGAGCTACATCCTGACTGCATTCAAGCAACTGTGAAGAACCCAGTTAGTGTTATGATTTGGTCATGCATGTCAGCAGATGGTATTGGTCGCCTTCATGTCATCGATGGGACACTGAATGCCAGAAAATACATTGACACTATTATAGAACCAAAACTTCTACCTTCCATCAGAGATCTCTTTCCCAACAATGCTTCGTTTATTTTTCAGCAGGATTCTGCTCCTTACCACATGGGCAAAATATCGAAAGAGTGGTTTCGTGCAAAGAGCATTTAATTGTTGTCATGGCCAGAAAACAGTTCTGACCTCAATCCTATTGAAATTTTGTGGCACCGTTTGAAAACTCTTTTCCGAATGAGGTGACCATCAAATAAAAGGGAACTAATTGAGGATATAATTGTTTCCTGGCATCATGTAATAACGAAAGAACTTAAAACTCTTGTCAGCTCAATGAAACGTCGATGTGAAGCTGTAATCAAAAATAAAGGGTACCCTACTAAGTACTGATAACTCACTGTGATCATCACCATCTAATGTATATCGATAACTATTATCGTTTAACTTTTTTGTATTGCAAATAATTGAATTTTGTGTTTTGTATTGAATTCAGTAATAAATTCTCTTTAAAATGATATATAGAAGTTTGCATTTTGTGAAACGTAACGTTTTCTATAAGCATACAAAGTTCAAAAACATAAAAATTTCCAAAAGTGTCTACAATTTCGGCCACCACTGTATATTGCTGAGCAACTGACTTCCTGTCTTTTACTATAACTGATAGCTTTGATTATTTTGACTGTAATGTAATTTGTGGCTGAAATCTTCAAGATTCTTCTGTAAAATAAAATGTAACAAATGTTTGTACCATAAGTATGGATTGTGTTGCTGAAATCATCGTCACAATGTCAAAACCATGAATCAATTTTATATGCTCTTTTCTCATACCCACATAGTTGTGCTTCGCATAACAAACAATAACTTGGATTGAAAAATGTCCTGCATATGAATATCATCGTACATTAAATGCAGAATTAAATTTTTTTCACCTTTTTGTTTTAACAGTGCATAAATAATAATAATAAATTTGCATAAATAAGAAGACCGACAATTATTTCTTTATTTATTAAGCATACAAATAAAGAAATTTCTTAATGCACTATCACCAATGAAGAACTGCTAGTCCTCGTTGCCCAGGAAATCTGAGTTATCCAGAGAGAAGTTTCTTTCTGTGAGGAGGAGGAGGAAAATATAAAGAACCTTAGTGTAATGCATTTAACAGAGATTTTCTGAAGAAATAGAAATTTGGCTGATTCCATACTATATAAAAACTAGAAGGGGAGAGGAGATTCTGGTCCGATCTAAGTAGTGGTATCCTATTTAAGCTGAGATGAATAGAGTTTTGCTCAATAACATTGCCATGCATTTCTTCAGAATCATGTCGAGTAAGAAGATCACTTTGTAGGATTCTTCTTCTATAGAAACATAAATCGGAGTCTTTCAGATTCTACTATACTGACAAATGAGTTATTGTTCTCGTCTGAAGCAAAATGGCAAAAGTCTTATGAAAGTTAAAATAACTTTTTAATAACTCTTGAAATTTAATAGAAGGTATTAATGCTATGGAATGAAATCCCGCTGTTTGTGGGTATTTAAAATAACAAATTGAAATTAAATTTAAGCAATATAGTCTACAAAATATTCTACTTTAGTTGGCTGAAGTAATTAACAATGCATATTTAACCCTCTGACTGGCAAAGCCATAAATATGTATGCCTTTTTATGACATCTTTAAGAAAGTGTATATATCTATGCATCTTGAAAATTGTTAAGAAATTAAGACAATATATTAAAAGTATGTAAATTCAGGGACATTTCAGCATTAATTTTTTTTCAATGTTTAGTGGCTTTAGAACTGGTCTTCAAAGAAGATTAAAATTCTTACTATAATGATCTATGGAAAAAGCATCCTTCACAATGACTATGATCACTGAACAGATAGTTTTCATTATGCATATTACAACACTATTTTCTGAATTTTTTTTGGTGGGGGGTGTTTTTGCATAGTCTTTGAGATAAGGGAAAAATTACCACGTAACTAAAAATTTGAGTTTTAGTTTAATTTGTTCCTTAGTGTTGTAAAGCTTCAAACACATTTTTCTTGAAATGGCAAATTTGCAGCTTCAGGCTTTGGGTTTTTTTTTTTTTATTTATCTGATTATAGTAAAGCTTATGGGGGCTATCTGCATTAGGGAAGAGATCTCTTCATGGAGGGCTTTTTTTGTATCCACTTGTTTGTATTTAAATTATGCATGGAGAAACCATGAAAATGTCCATGCAGTAAAACGTGTTTCCCAGGATTCAAACCATGGTCAAACTACCAGTGTTCAACAACTTTGCTGTTTGGCCACTGGTGGGCCTCATGCCTTTAGAATGGTATCACTGATGTGTTAAAAGTTATGTACTGTAACAAAATCAAACTTGAACAATTTTCACTCTTTTTTTTTTTTTTTTTTTTTTTTTATTTCATTATTTCTTAATAAGTACAAAAGATACTCAATTTCTAAAGCCATTCAGCCAATTTTAAAAATAAAAAAAGATATAGAGCTATAAAATTAAGTTTTGCATAAAAAATAAATGTGAGATTTTCAAATCAGTTTGTTGTTTTGCTCATTCTTTATTGTAATTTTTAGTCAGGAAGAAGTTGAACGTTGTAAACAGAAAGATTTATTAGAGCAAATGCTAGCTGAGATGACTGGAGAATTTCCTGAGTTAAGTCAAGTGTTTGTGAAAGAACGAGATATTTATCTGACTTACTCTTTGCAAATGTCTGCAATTCCAATGCCATCCGCTCATTTACCAAATGGTAAAAGTTTTTCTGATATATTAATTTCATGTGTAATTTTTGTTCCTTAAATTTTATATTCAAGATATATCTCTAAAAGATTGTATGATGGCTATGTGTAAAACTACTTTGATTTCTTTTGTATGTGTCATAAACAGCCTTATATCCACAAATAAAAGCCATAAAGGAAGAAATTTATATTGACATGTGTTATATTTGCTAGACTGTGGAGAGAAATATATTTCTGTGTTAAGTGTCAGCTTTAGTCTCAAATAATAATCTAATTTTCAGAGGGCATAAAAAATATATTTCAGAGGGCATAAAATGTCTTATTAATCTCAAAATTAATTCTGAAGTAATTAGCATATAAAATGCTATGTAAAATATTGAACTTGCACAGACAAAAATTATGTAACTGAATCATCAGTTGTATAGAAAAAACTGTATAATGTACTCCAGTGGCAAATTTTGTATTTAATAAATATAACCCCCTCCCCAATTTGAGATGAATCAGTTATTACAAATGAATATGACTGATTTTTATATGCGTTATTATTTGTGTTATTTGTAACACATTTCACATAAAATAAATTTCAACTTTTTGAAACTTTTTAGTATGTTATTTAGGTACTTATGTACTATCCCATCGACCGTGATAATTGACTGCCTTCGAATCATAAAAGTTGGCAGATATTCTGTCAAAGTCAAGCCCATTGTACTTATGGAATGGGCTGCACTTTTATTTACATCTCTTACAATAAATCATTTGTCTGTTTCTCTGCAAAATTCGCCAAATAATCATTTCTGTACAAGTATTTGACCTGGTTCATTTTTTCACTTAGTGCCCCTGGATCTTACCAGAAACTCTGTTTAGAAGGCTATGAATGCAAACTTCCTGCAGGTGATTGTTCAATCTAATTTTGTTTTATCAGCCAAATCCAGCTGGTCCCCCCCCCATCCAACAGATGTTAAATCTTTTGAGCAGTTCCAAATGAACTGGGAGTCAGTCACAAATGTTATTCTACAGCTCTCAAATTCTTTTTTTTTTTTTTTTTTTTCCCTTCGAAAATGCAAAAACATATAGCAATAACAGTTAATTTATATCCTTGTACATAAAAACAAAAGGTGGCTTATGAGAATCATTCAGGGTTATATCAGACAAAATACAGGTATTGCTGATGTCAGGCTTAAGGCTACTTGGTCACAGTTTCATGTTCACCAGGTAATACATAAATACCATTACTTTTTTAAAGAAAATAATATGTGTCCCTGGTAAAAATCTTATTATTATTACAAGTACAGTTTTAAACTTTTCAAAAAATATCTCCTGCATGAAAAAATTTGGATTAAAACCCATTATATTTGTCTGTAGTTTTAATGCACATTTATTAACAGTGAAATAATTTGTTACATAACTAGCTCTCTAAGCCCATAAATAACTCAGTAGTTTCACAAATCTATTCTGAAATGCTTTGAGTTCAAAAATTTCTTTGCATAGTGGTAAAAATTCTTTTGAGCAAATGTTTTCTTTGAAACTTTCTATTATTCAGTAATAATTTTGATTCATATACTTCTGTTTTGCCTCTCTGAAAATATTCTTTTTGTACTGTGTTAGTTTAAATTACCATAATATCAATAATTTTGATTTATTATTTAATTAAAACTAACATGTACATTGGCAGTTAAAATTAGTATTACATCTCTAAGCATAGGTACTTGAAAGGTATTTTTTGCAGATGATGAGTTTTCCTCAAATAGGATGAGATTCCTTGTTTCCTGTTTCTACAGAAATTAAATTTGAACTTGGATTGAAAGATTAAAAACATTATTTCTTTATTATATTTTAAAATTTGGGCTTGAGAAAATTCAGTAAATATGCTAATATTTTATATGTATAATAAATATAAATTTGTAGAAATGTACTAAATAGCTGCAAGGTATGCTGATATTATGACAAAATTTAGATACTACTTAGTATTTAAAATAATTTACAGAGATTCACATTTCTATAGTCCGACAGCTTTCATAATAAATAACCTGTGCAAGCCGATTTTCAAAGAATGAGTACTTATCATATTAAGGGTTGCTAGCTAAATGTTAATCATCATAAGTTTTGCTAAAATTCATTGTTAATAAATGTCTGGGAATTATATGTGGTTATGGCACTAGAAGGAACGTTTAAAAAAAATTAAATGTATGCATTGGTATTTTATTTTTGCAATTGATAGTACCTTTTTTGACTATGAGATGCCTTTATCTGAAAGAAAGAAAGAAAAGTATTTTGCCATCTATATTAGCTGTAATTTTGGAATTCCTAAGAATCTTTTTTAGCCTTTTAAGCACTGCATGCTTATTTGTATGCATTGCTACTAAAATTGTGATTTTATTTGGTGAAGAATTTGTGATTACCTTTCAAATATATAATGTTTCTAAAAATAAGTAATAGTTTTTTTTAAGATAAAATACTATCAATATTTTGATTGAAATGATGATGCTTAGATACATATAATCATGTGCATAGAAAAGCCATTTGGTAAAATGTGATATTTGCACGCTGGGAGCTATACCATACCAATTAAAGTATTTTTTACTCATAATTATTAACTAACTGGCTGGATTACTTCATAATTTAAAACAAAATTAGATAATAACCAGAAAATAACTGCACTTTTGTGTATTCTAAAAATGCTGTGGTTTTTATATGTTGCTTCAAATTCTTACTTTTCTAAGAATTTTGAGGTTAAAATGCTATTGTGGAAATGTTTTTTGTAATCATGTCACTGTAAGTATCCTTTACTAAAATTTCAAATGTTTTTATTTATTAATAACTCGAATTTACTTCATTTCATTTATTTATTTATGCATTATTTTTGTAGTTACTCTTCCAAGTTATATTGTTGGTGTTGTGGGCATTGGCCATGTTCCTGGCATCAAAGAAAATTGGGGAAAAGTTACCGATGAAGACATACCACCCATTTTAAGGTAAGCCTATATTTCATGTACTTTAACTTTTTCTACGTCCCAAAGTTTTCAAGACCCAAAGTAATTGCCAATTCATTGTTTAAAAAAAGAGCAGAATAGAGAATGACTATTTTCAGCAGTATTAAGAAGTGCTATTCAAAATTCTGGGATCTCTACCATCAGGACTTGCAAACTTTTCATAATATGTTTGGTTAGAATATTGCTTCTATGCCATCACTTGCTATTAATCTCCAAGATCTTTGCAATTATTGATGCTGTGGTTGATTTAACATCACAATTGTGGTGCGAAATGAATCATTACTTCGATATTTGGTGTATCAGTAGAAGGTGACACATTGAACATTTGTGAATCACATAAATAGGCTTGGTGATTAAAAAATGATTTAATGAGTTTTGAATAACCCTATCTAATCTTTCTTTTTCTATAATAATATGAAAATTTGGTAAAAAAATCACGTACATGTATTGTTCTTTTTTCAGTGTTCCTGAAGCATCTCTGTCCAGCAAAATTATCCGTGTCAGCATAAAAGTTTCTGTTATTGGATTAGGAATATATGGTATTTATAAATTATTACCTACAGTCTTGAAACCAAAGAATATATTCCAATTTATAGCTCGATCATCGACTACGAATTGAAGAATAGTGAAGTCCTTGCAGGATAGGAGTGATTATTTTTATACATAAGAAACCAAGAAAAGAATGAAGTTCCGTGCAGCTCACAGATGATGAGATATGACCAGTAAACTAGACTATGTCATTTAACTGAATTTTTAACATAATATTTTTTTTAGTTGATTTTAAGTAACTTTGAGACTGTGAAATATAATAAGATCTGCCAAATTATAGTTACATTTCAGATTTGTAAAAGGAAAAAAGAAATTTAAAAAAAAAAAAAAAGATTAGTGCAGTTTTGTTATTGAATGTCTTAGTTTGCTTTATCTGAATTCAATGTAAATTTTTAGATTTTACTCTGAATGTATGAGGAATGAACATACTTCACTTTTAGATGACTATGTATCACAGTGAAATCATGTTATGACGAGTTTCCCCTTTGTTTTGGCTTTATTAGTGATAGAAAAGCATGTGTTGTGAGGAGGAGGATTTTGCTACATTAAAATGTGATCAAATTTTTGAATAATCAGTTTAAAAAAATAAATAATGAATTGAAATTTAGAACTGCATTAATATTAATTGTGGCTGTCTTAATATGACAGTTGTTATTATATTGATATAGAGTGTTATATTTTGAATTCTGTGAGTGTTCAAGGATGGTTGTAACAGTTTTAAATCAAGATTCTGTATCGTTACAGAAAAGTTTGGTTTTCTGCATAGTGATTTTCCAAAAGTAATTTTTGTTAATGTTTATTTCAGAACATATTAATTCTTCTATACTTCTGTTAATTATTTAAGTAATGGATTCAATTCAAAAGTATTGGATCCAGTTCAGAAAATAAATGACTTCTACATTTGCCTTTGTTAAAGATTTAAAGAAAAGTATTTATAGATGTAATGGGAAATAATCTGTTAAGACTTGGTATTTCTATGCTATAAATAATTATTCTTTATCATCTTTATTTTCAAAACAATAATTAGTTATTTAGAAAAATACCTTTTCATAAATGAAGATCATGGCAAATAATATTTAAATGATGACTTGTGAAACAATCATTTAGAACTTCGTTGCAAGAAAAAAATATTTTGCAAGGGGGGGAGGAACTGCACTTAAAATAAATATTTATTGAGAAATTCTCAATATTACATGATATGTTAAAATAAGAAGATTAAAGTCATGTTAAAAAGAGAAGTATGTTAAATTTAGCAGATAAAATGCAAAATTGGGGAGGTGGGTATAGTGATAAAATAATAGTTTGAAGAAGTAAACATATCCTTATGCTTCTTGTTCAGTTCTGAAATTTTATAATGTGTATCAGATAAAAGGTTTTCATTTTATATTCATATTCAGATAACAATTATATTTGCTGTTAAAATTAAATTAGCATTTAGAATTTTTATCTGTATTTTAAACAACTTGTAATTTGATGAATATTTTATGACAGTAATAATTTTAAATATGAAATATAGCAATTTACGTCTTATTTTTATGTACATTTGAGAATTTTATTTTTTAGTTAAGTACTGTTATGGTCCAGTTTTTATCTTCAGAAACAAAATGCATGAATAAGTGCAGAGAATTCTATTCATGTGAAAATAAAATATATGTACAATAACATATTTGAGATAAAAAAATTATATTTTAAGGAATTTTAAAAGCATACATAACATAAATTCGTATTGCAATAAAAGAAATGGTTTGTTAAAGAATAGTTGTAGAAGTAGATTCTCAGTACTATAATATATGCCAAATTTTTGCATTTATCTTGGAACGTTTGCAGGCCATTAATCTGCTAATTGTTGAACAACTATAAGAAAAATCAAATTAAACTTTTCTATTTTTACTTAGAAAAGCATTTCTTTCTTACTAAATATGAGTGATTTTTTAATTCTTTATTTTGGAATTTTAAGTATTTGCCATATTTGGATTCAAGTATTAACATTCTTTGAAAATAGGCATTTTGACTAATTTAAATTTCTGTCCTTTCTGTTATACTTTACAAGTATTCTTGGATTTTATTTTATATTCTATCATATAGTTTGTGCTTTATCTGATGTTAAACCTTCTTATTGTTATACATATGCGCAATGTTGTATCAGACTGTTTTTTGTTAATATGATTGAGCTTATTCATGTATGAAATGTACAAAGGTGTCCTTATTAATGTAGCATACACACTTGCTTTTTTCTGATATCTTTAAAATAGCTTTTCTCACTTTTTTTAACCGCTATGGGTTTTGATGCTTGAAATATTTTATTAGTAACGGCTAATAGAATAGGATTGATCTGTTATTTCAGTTCATTATAGAGCAGTGCAATGTCATTTCGTCACTCTCTAAATTTATTGTAGTAGGTAATTGATTTACTGTCAGTACTGAAGTTTTTCATTAATGTGAAATATTTAAGAAGTATAAAACTACTTTGAAGAAACTATTTTCTGATTCAAGAGCTAAATCGAGAGGCAATGAAATGATTTTTTTTTTTCGTAATTAACACTCAACAAATAGCATAATAGTTACTGAAATATATTCTATTTGCTATTTTCTTACTCATTTTTATATGTTTTCTAATGCACAGTATGCAGTGGTACTGGTGTATGGCAACATAGTTACTAATTCAGTTCCCTGATGCTTTGTTGATTTTCTTGACTGATTGAAAAAAAAAAATTGCAAAATCTGTTGTTTCAATGCCAAAACATTGTAGATGTATGCATTGTTTTCTGTTTAAATGTAAATGATGTAAAAAAATGCATAACTTTAAAATATTTGTTAAAAATGTAACAAAGTAATGTATTGAAAAGTATATAATTGGAAATTATTAATAAAAATTTGCTTGTTTTATTTTTGGTAGAACATTTATTCCATCACAGTTGCATTATTAGTCTGAGATAGTTTATGTAATGGAAGTGAAACTTTTTTTTATTATAGTGACGAATGACTTCTGCAGCTGACAAATTCAGAATGTCTTTATGATAACTGTAAAATGTAATGTGTAGCATTAATTTCTCAATGAAAAGATTTTTCTTGTGTCTGAATAATTACTGCTACAATAAATCTTTATAATGAAGCATTTTTTTTTTCAGAACTTGTGTGTGGTTACAAAAACACTTTAATAAGTAATTTTCAATATAAATGCACATTTCTTGATATATATATTTTTTTTTATAACTAGTGGAGTAATTAGAAGAAATGATTTTAAGTGAGTAATCGTACTGTAATTTAAGTAAAATAAAAATTGTTGTATATCCTGGTGTATAATGCCTACCTGTAACTTCAAACTGCATTTAAAAATTGTTAGGTGTATTGTATCTGCCGTAAAATGCGCAACCTTTCATTATGAAGAAACCTGAAGTCCTTCATTCAAAGATGTTTCACAGGTTGTCGAACATTGGTATATTGAATACAAGGGGGAACAATATGTATGTGAGGTAAACGCTTGAGGGAGTAAATAATTCTGCAAAGATGGTTTTGAGATACAAATATACACCAGATCCGAATGAATTCGCCAAATTAGGAGTTAGATGTTTCCTCTTTCTTCAGTAATTTGAAGCTGTTATTTTGAAGCAAACATCAAAGGCTTTAGTAAACTGTGTTTGTTTTAGCTGATATACAGTTGATTTTAGTGTTCCTTTTAGTAGTAAATATGGCTTCTGCCAAACAAAACAAACACAGTGCTGGTTTCAAATGCAAAGTCATTCAATTTGTGAAATAAAATGGAAATCTTGCTGCAGCAAAGATGTTTGATATTGATGAAAGCTTCATATGCAAGTGGAAGAAAAATGAAATCACAGTAATCAATAGGCAAAAGAATGAATGTACTTGCAGAAAAACGTAAATAAATGGCTTATCCTAGAAGAAAGTATTGTGAACTGGGTCCTAGAAAATCCTCAGAATCACCAATAACAGTATTAGGTACATGTATGAACCAAATTTTTGTATGCTTATCTTTTCCTTATTTTTAAATTTATCATTTTTATATCTGGTGTATAACATGCATCCATAAATTTTGATTTTAATTTTTGTATTAAAAGTGCACATTATACACCAGGAAGTCGATCTGATTAAATACTGACTGAGGTGTATAATCATTGAAAGAAATTATGATGGTAGATAATTTCTGAAAGGGATTAATAAATAAAAGTAATTGAAGAGGGGATTCATTGTAAGAAATTTTTTAGTATGAAGAGAAAACTGATTTAATAATAAATTACTGTGAAATTATATTAATTGCAAATAAAAGATTAATGCATACACATATTGTATTATCTTTTAAACAGATCTGAAAAACTTGACTAATACTTGCTGTTATTTAAGGTAAGCTGAGGGGGAAAAAATAAGTGCACTTAGATTTCAATCATAACGGTATTTTATTTGGTATCATAAACTGTTTGGGAATTTAAAAAAAAATTCATGTAACATTTTTAAGTATGGCAAGAGAATATTAATGGAAAGGGGCATGCAACTTGCAGATAAATGTAGACATAAATACAACATAATTTACTTCTGGGAAAATCCTTGATTCACATATCATTATGGACACACTAATCTGCTTCCGACATTTTTGGAAGTTTAATACATCTTAGCACATACAATGGATAATGAGGATAATGAGCTGCTAAGCAAGTGAGAAATTTACACATTTAGAAGAAACGTGAGAAAATGATGAGAAGCTTTGGTTTCAATTGAAATTGTATTCAATGATTGGTTAAAATGTATCTGCTTTGCAGTGTATTTAGATTGTTATATTCTAAATAAATAGTGTTTTTAGAATAGAAAGGGGAAATACCCAATTAAAAATGAAGGATAAAAACATTATTATGAATTAAAATCAGAACTTTGCTTTCATATTTTTATTTTACATATCACTCTCCAATAAGGCTTAGTAATAGAAGAACCTTTTTAGAAAAAAAGCATTAGAACATTAGCAAATGAAAATAGAGATTTAGTAAATTGTGTACAATCCAATGATAAAAATGAGAAAGAAAATGATTTTCCTCAGGGATATAGCCTATAAGTTTCACTCTGCTCTGTCATTTTGTCTTAACTGTCTCCTGTATTAAACATACAAAATGATACATAAAAGTTTAAATTAGAAATGATGTAAAAATATAATGTTATATAATATATGAAATAAAATGGTAGTCTAATCTGAAAGTTTGTTTTCTCCAGCAATAAATTATATAGTATCTAAAAAGAGATGCAAGATAAAAATATGAAAGTAAACTTCTGACTTTTAATTGGCAATAGTAACTATTTATATCAATTTAAGTTGCCTCATTTCAAAACAAATTCTTATCATAGGGTTGAAGGTGCAAAGCAGATACCTTTTAAGCAATCACTGAATAAGATTCCAATCGAAACCAAAATCTTTTGACACCCTCCCACGGTTCTTCTGAATGCATCAGTACTTTCTGGCTTGCTTTTCTGCATTTTTAACATAGCAGCTAACTTCATAGTCAGCTTTTCTGCATTTTTAACATAGCATCTTAGTACATCCATTGTATGTGCTGTATTAAATTTCCCGAAATGTTGGGTACAGATTGTATTCATAATGATATGTTAATCAGAACATGCATCTCAAGGATTTGTCCAGAAATAAATCATGTTGCATCTGTGGCTACATATGTCTCTGCAAGTTCATCTGTCTACTACACAATTACCATTTTGTCTACCAGCACCACTGACAACCAGCGATTATGAATAAAAGTAATTTGTGTGTTTTCTCTCACACCTTCCTAAATTATTATAGATACAGTGGTGGCCAAAATTGTGGACACTTTTTTTATGTTTTTGAACTTTGTATGCTTATAGAAAATGTTACGTTTTGCAAAATGCAAACTTGTATATATCATTTTAAAGAGAATTTATTACTGAATTCAATACAAAACACAAAATTCAATTATTTGCAATACAAAAAAATTTATATGTACTTTAATGTAAATAAAAAACACAGGTTATGAAGTGGTTTTTTGTAATGTCTAGCTTTCCTGGCCAATCACTGTTCTTGTTCTGAGAACCAATCAAATGTTAGTAACTGCCAGTAGAAGCTGACATCATGTTTACACTTGAAACAATTCATTATTTTGCTTTGTTCTGTAGAAGGAGGACCTGTTTCTTATACACTTACAACTGCAATTACAAGTAGGAATTTTTGTAAAAATTTTAAATATTTAGTCAAGAAGCAATGACATCAAATAAAAGAGTAGATTGGACACCTAGAAAGAGATGTAATATTATTGTGTTACGAGAAAGTGGTGTTTCCTATGCTGAAATTGCAAGACAGGTGGGTGGTTCAGCGACTACAGCTGGAGTCCGAAAGTTTTCTTTACGATATCAGGAGGCAAATTCAATAAAAAACAAAGAAGGAAAAGGCCGAAAAAGGTGCACCACATCTATTGATGACAAAAGAATAAAAAGACTATGTCTCCAAGATAGAAAAATGTCATCAGTGGCCATCTGAAGTGATCTGAATGATGCTGGTGTTTCTGTCAGTTCAAGAACAATCAGGAGAAGATTAACAGATGTTGGACTGAGAGGTAGAATTCCACGAAAAAAGCCTTATCTTAATTTTCAGCAACGAAAAACAAGACTACAGTGGGCAAAGGAACACATTAATTGGACAGATGATCAGTGGTCACAAGTTATATGGAATGATGAACCTAAGATATCGGTATTCGGTAGTGATGGGCGAAAATATGCAAGACATATAATAGGAGAAGAGCTATATCCTGACTGCATTCAAGCAACTGTGAAGAACCCAGTTAGTGTTATGATTTCGTCATGCATGTCAGCAGATGGTATTGGTCACCTTCATGTCATCGATGGGACACTGAATGCCAGAAAATACATTGACACTATTCTAGAACCAAAACTTCTACCTTTCATCAAAGATCTCTTTCTCAAAAATGCTTCGTTTATTTTTCAGCAGGATTCTGCTCCTTGCCACACGGCCAAATATCGAAAGAGTGGTTTCATACAAGAGCATTAAATTGTTGTCATGGCCAGGAACAGTCCTGACCTCAATCCTATCGAAAATTTGTGGCACCGTTTGAAAACTCTTGTCCAAGTGAGTGCCCATCAAATAAAAGGAACTAATTGAGGATATAATTGTTTCCTGGCATCATGTAATAACGAAAGAAGAGCTTAAAACTCTTGTCAGCTCAATGAAACATCGATGTGAAGCTGTAATAAAAAATAAAGGTACCCTACTAAGCACTGATAACTCACTATCTAATGTATATCAATAACTATTATCTAACTTTTTTTGGATTGCAAATAATTGAATTTCGTGTTTTGTATTGAATTTAGTAAAAATTCTCTTTAAAATGATATACAAGTTTGCATTTTGTGAAACATGACGTTTTCTATGAGCATACAAAGTTCAAAAACGTAAAAATTTCCAAAAGTGTCCACAATTTTGGCTACCACTGTATATATATATAATATGCCCTTGCATATAGCAGTTTCTAAGAATATTATTTTTAAGAATATTGCATTTCGACAAAGCATCGGTCTTTAACTTAAAACTATTTTTTTATTGACCGAACAAAATAAGTAATTCATTGTAATTATTTTATAGTTAAAACTATAATTGCAATTATAACAATGGTATTTAGAACTACAATATATAGCTTCAAACGCAATTCAGTTTTTGGCTTAGCAGTAACCAAGATTTTATTTTACTGCTGGATTTGAATTCCGGTGAACAATCTAGATGTTCAGGTATTTTTGTTATTTTACTTCTAAAAATACAAACCAGTTTCCTTTAGAAAACCATTCACAAAGACATCCTTCCTTTTATGCTCTGTGAAATAAACAATTAACTCATGCTTTTGCTGATCTTACTTTAACTATGTATTGCAACTATGCTTTATATTTAATAAAATCCTAATTCATAGTTAGATCGTTACTAGAAGTAACAGTTTTACACATTATTTAAGCTGAATGGTCTTGGGTAGAAAATAATGTCACTTTCCTGGCAGCAACTGTAATCTTCAGAGACTTCTTAATAATATTATGCTTGGTTTTTTTTTCAACCTGAGGCTAAATAATTCAGTCTGGTGCATCCAT